TGTCTCTCCTAGTCTATGACAAACTCAAATTTATACACCAACTCTTTCCTATGTTGTTACATTGCTAAAACTGGGGGGAAAAAAACCTGCTACTTCCCTCCCAAAAGCAACACTAAAAATACTAATTAACAAGATAAAGCCAGATAGAAGTGTGTGTGTGTGTGTGTGTGTGTGTGTGTGTCTCACATGTTCTTAATGTCACAAAAGTTTATCCACTATTTATTCCAAAGGATAACAGCCATATATCTTGATACAGGTACACTCTGCAAGAGAAACTTGTCAGTGACTACACTATAGGGTTTATAGCACTATAAAATAAATTAACTACTGCATTAACTCAAATTCTGTCAAGCTTTGAATATTTCTGTTTAAATGTATTAGTACTCTAAAATGTAATTTCCCTTGGTTAGATTTGGCCAAGATAAGAAATACTTAAACTAATTCTATTGGGGGAAATATTTTTTGTCACAAGCCTGTCAACATGAAAAATTAAGAGTATGAAAAATAGGCATTTTGGTCAGAGCAAATCTTACTATTTTTGCAATAGCAGTTCTTCAAGCTCTTCAGATTGTTAAGAAAAATATAGTTTTACAAAATGATTTTTTAAAAGTTTTTATGTGAATCACATAAGGCTTATCCAAATGTTGCTGTAAATTATTTCAATGGCATTAAACTAACACAGAAAGCATGCAAGTTGTGTACTCTGGGGAAATAAAGCAGACCGATCAGTAGTTCTAAAATAAAAGACAATGGTATAATCCTCAGAGTGCGCTATTCGTTCCAGTCATTAAACACACAGGAAATAAGATTTTCTATTTAGAAAACTAATTCGTAAAGGGCAATGACTTCATTAAAGCAAAGAAAATCTTATAAAACAGACAAAGATCAATTGTAAAACACGAACAAGTATTATAGAACTAGAAGGTGAAACATAAGAGGAAAAATGGCGTGGACTGCCCGAATATTTATTCCTTAAATCTCTTCTTGGACCTATCCCCAAACGGAGCAATCGAGTTTCATTATTTACTGGCCCAGGCAATGCCAGATGCTCGGCTTCGGGGCACAGCATAACTAGAATTCTACCAAAGGCAGTTAACGCCATAAAAAACAAGACCGCTTTCATTATGACAACACTTTCCCCTCTTTCCAGGATGGTCAATAGAAAGCATATGAAGTAAACCACAAACCACTCAGGACGGCCCCAAAGCACTGCGGCTGGCAGCTGGCCTCAAGTCAAAAGACCAGGTTCTGGTCGCCTCCGTGGTCCCACCTGGGTGACCTTGGGCAAGTCACTTCTAATTCTCCCACTGGCCATCGGCACCATGAAGGTGCGAAGGGAAATCACTAACATTGCACGACTCTATGGCCGAGGGCGGAGTCGACTTCGGCCTGGACAAGTCCTGAAGTGAAAGCGCATTAAAATACCAGAAAAGGATGCCCAGGGCCGTGCAGCCCCCGCGGACGCAGCCCTGGAGCCAGCCACCCCGACAGGCGCCGCCGCCGGGAATCCCCGGACAGCTGGCCGCGCGCGCCACGTCCAGAGCGGTCTTTCTCGGGGTAGCAGGGCGCGACCGGACCTCTGAGCAGACACCCCAAGAGTCGTCCGCCCCACCACCGCCGCAGGCCTCCCCGCCGGACGCCGCCGAGGGCTGAGGTCAGAAAACAATCAAGGACCAGGGGGAAGAGGACGCCGCCCGGAGCTCGCGCGCAGGTGAGCCGGCCCGGCGGCCTCGCCCAGGTGCGGCGCGCGCGGAGCGGACACGTTGGGAGCGGACGCCGTCCCGCATCCCGCGCCGCCAGCCCCTCGGCGGACGCCGCTCCCCTCGCCTCAGCAGGGGACGCGCTCCCGGAGCCCCGCCGCCGTCTCCTGGCGCCCGGCCCCGGCCCCCCGCCCCAGCGCGGCCGCGCTCCTCACGCCAAACTTTACCGTACCCTCGGCCCGGAGCACCCGCGCAGCCGCGGCCCCGGCTCCCACACGCACCGAGCTGCCCGGAGCGGCGCCCACGACGGCCGCCCGCGCACTGCGCACGCGTCCCCGCGCCGCCTCAGCCCCCAGACGGCGGCCGAGATTCCGGAGCCGGCACTCCCAGCCGCGGAGACTACAAATCCCGGCAGGCCCCGCGCGGCGCAGCGGCGAGCCGGCGTCTTCCTGGTCCCAGGGTGGCGGCCTCGCGCGCGAGGGGGCCTGCTCGCGGAGCGCCGGGCCCGTGGCCGCGCTGCTTCCTGGGATTCGTAGTTTTCAAGGACCACTGGGCTTGGCTCCGAGGTGGAGAACTCGGGGTTCTCTGATGTCATCGCCTAGAGCTGCGAGGCACAGGGATCTTTAAAAATAGGCTTCGTTAGTTTGCAGATAATTTGTTTGCAAGCTGTCCCACAATCGGTCCAAGTAGCACAAACTCACAGGCTGCGGCGTGACTTGCAGAAAAATGCTTTACGGCTCGGCCCGCCAATTTTTCTCTCAGCCATTTTTCTCTCCCTAGGAATGTAGTTCTGCCTCCTACTTACAATGGTGTTCGTAGTGCAGGAGGCTAAGAGAAACTTAAAGAAGGATTAGTTGAAATTCTTTAAGGACGAATGGAGCATATATATGTATTCTCATAAATACTCGTAAATATTTCACATATTTGTTGAGCACCTACTATGTACCAAGTACCTCAATAGGCAACTAGGTATACATCTGTGCACGGGACAGACACTGTCGCCGCCCCTCGTGGAGCCTGCAGTCTGTAAGGGAGCTAGTCCACAAACAAGCAAGATCATTACAGATTTCAGTAGAATGGCAAGGCTGAACAAATTCAAGAGATAGTGGCAGGGGAAGCCTCTTCAGACAGGGTGGTCAGGGACAGTTCTTCAAGGAAGTAATATTCGAGCCGAAGCCTGAAGAATGAGCAATATTCAGACATGCAAAAAAATTAGGAAAGAATTACATGCCACACCTTTCACAGCACACGCCACACTCTAGACTCTCAATAAATATTTGTTCTTTTTGTGTCCTTCCTTTCCTCTCCCTGCACAACCTTAGATCACATCCTTCCCCCTTCAAAACCTTTACAAAATCTTTATCAACACCTTTCAGAACATCCTTCCTATGTGAAGACGTACATAAGACAAATCAATGTCCAGTGACAGGACAAACTATACAGCTTCTGGGACAGAAAACAGGAGGTAAATGCCAATGAGTTTGGTAATGTGGCTGGAATCCTGACTACTTAACTCCTTTATTTGTGAACTGGGTTTGAAGTCTGGGCACTCAGCCTGGCCTCCTGATTTGCTTCTGTTTATGAGACATAAAATCAGATTTTGAGCTTTTCTATATTTAAAGATTCTGAAGGAGGCCGGGCACAATGGCTCATGACTGTAATCCTTGCACTTTGGGAGGCCGAGGCAGGAGGATTGCTCAAGTTCAGGAATTTGAGACCAGCCCAATCGACACAGCGAGACTTCATCTATCCAAAAATAAAAAAAATAGAAAAATTAGCGGGGCGTGTTGGCATGCACCTGTAGTCCCAGCTACTAGGAGGCTGAGCCAGGAGGATTGCTTGAGCCCAGGAGTTTGAGGTTGCAGTGAGCTATGATGACACCACTGCACTCTAGCCCAGGCAACAAAGGGAGACACTATCTCAAAAAAAAAAAAAAAAAATCCTAAAGGAAACTTACCTTTTATCTCATCTGAATCAGAGGTGTAGTGAAAAACAGTCCCAGATTTACCTGTATGGACTTACCTGTGTGACTTTAAGCAGAGAATGACACTTTGCCTTTCTGACCTTTAGTAACTGCAACTGTAAATAAGTATAATTCATCCTGCCCAACTTACAGAATGTTCTCCGCATCCGATAAGCTGATGGAGGTGAAAACACCGTACAAACTGCACAGCATGCTCCCATGCTGCCTCTTTCGGACTGCTCATTTTCAATTGCCTTTCATCCAACATGACTGTTCTACTATCTTTTGAGAAACCTTAGCTGTGCAGCCTTGCTGACATCTCTCTCTTTGGGGTGCCTCATTTCCTCATCTGAATGATGATTGAAAGGGTTTGGCCTCACCATAGTTTATAAAGTGGCCAGAAGAGATGGTTTCCTTTGGTCCATACAGTGGGTTCTTATTGATTTAACTGAATGTGTGATTGACATTTAAAAATAGAGATTTCACACAAAAATCCAGATGTCACCTGTCTGATCCCTCTGGACATTTGGGCTTGCCTTCCTTGGCTAGAAGTTCTGGAAGGAGTCTCTAGCTTTTTATCTTTAGAATCATAGAAAATTCCAGATGGGATATTTGAGACAAATTGAAAAGACATTCCTTTTTTGTTTGAAATTAAAATTAAAATTTAGCATCTTTTATTTGATCTGAAAATGCTAGCCCTGGAATCAGACCACTGAAGCAGAGAGCCTCTCACTCCCTCTAGGCTGGACCCAGAGGGAATCTTTTTCCCCGATTGTTACCGTTTGACATTGACTGGGTGGTTTAAGATTGTTCCTTTGCTCTTTTTTGCATAACAAGACCCAAAGATTGTTTAACATTAAGAGTCACATTTACACACAATGAAAAAAGTCAGAAAAGTGACTCAGTTTGCCCAAAGACATCAAGCAAGGTAATTCCAGGGCTACTCTGAGGTTGTGGTACACCTATAACCAGAACTTGAAAGCTCAGATCAACCAATAAATGCAGAGACCAACGACAACCACAAAAAAAGCTCTCTGCTTTTCCTCCGGCCTTTTTTTTTTTTTTGGATGGTGAGGTTTATTACATAAATGTGCTTTCAGTATTATTTAAAAAGAAAAAAAGTATGTGGAAACGACAGTCTGGGAGCAAACCAAGAACACTCAGGACCCACTGAAGGCAATGAGAAATACTGGAGTATTCCATGGATACTTTTCATCTGAAGAAAAAAGGAGGACTCTGAATTCAAGGCTCTGCAATGTACCTTTAAAACATGACTATCACCATCATCGTGCTTTGTGCAGGTAATTACTTTGATGTTTCATACAAAAATATTTCTTGAACCCCTTCTACATGCTTAGTGCTGGTCCATGGATCCTCCAGACAGACATCAGCCCCTTGGAACAACATGGAGTGGAGCAGGGTAGAGAAGTCCTGCAACTTATTCCAAAGGCACAAAGAGAATTACTGAGTGCTGGTCGCCTCTCTAATACTTGATTTCCCCTTTCTTCCTTGCTTTGTTTTTTTCTCCTTAGCAATAGTCACTTTCCCACATATTTTATATGTATAATATACATGAGTTTTATTGATCTTGTTTGTTTTCTTTATGTCCCACGAGAATGTAACCTCCGCAAGGACAGAGATTTTATCTGTTTTGTTCATTGCTGTATCCTTAGTGCCTAGAACAGAGATGTTTGTTGAATGATGCATGCCACCATCCCGTTTATGGACAGAGTCAGAATCAGAAGTCAGGCAGAAAGAGCAGCTCCAGACATAAACCCCTGTTCTAGCCAGAAGCCAGAACCAAAACAGAACAAGAATTAAACATGAGCCAAACACTCTATGAACCCAGCTTTGTTCTTTCGTATACCCTCCAGAAAGTGGGTAGCAGAGAGTTAAAAACAGCTCTTCCCTATTTTTCAGTGCAAAAATGGCACCAGAACCTGGGGAGGGAGTCAGTGGGGTCACTTCTGTGGTTGAGGAGTCGGGAGCTGGCTCTCTGACCTTGTCATGCAACTGGCAACAACCAAGTGATGGGAAGCGTGATTCTCGGTAGTCGCCCAGGGCAGGCCAGGATTAGGTGACCTGCCCAGATTACAAATCAGGTGACTAGAGTCTCCTGGAGCTAATGCTTGTATCCCAGGGCTGAGGCACAATTCTCCTTCAGGAAGGTTCTGTGAAAGACACATTTTATGCTTACTGAGATGCAGGAATAGGATTTCTGAACAGTTCAACAACCAGCCCAAATTCTAGGCCCATGAAGGAAAAAATATATTGGGAGTCAACTGGGGGAATGATTGCCTCCAAGACTCGTAGAGAGTAGAACCAAGTCTTTCCTGCCTTGGGATTGTCAGGCAACACAGAAGAGAGCCTGACACTGAACAACTTGATTGGACACCTAGTGCCACCAGGGCCCTAAAAGCTCTCCAGCAACCCTGTGATCTCTGGGGTCTGGTGAGGTTCCAGCTGCATCAGACCCCCAGTTAGATCATACTTTAATTATCCTGACCACATATGGCAGGTCTAGCATGTTGGTCAGCCCTAAAATTGCAGAGCACAGAATGCCTGCTGTCATCCAAACATGTGGACTCTTGCTCCAATGTGATGTGAAAACTTGAAAAGCAAGATTTTCTGAAGTCCAAGTTTGTCCAGGGCATAGCTGGGTTGCTAATTGCAGCGCTAAAGTGAGGGAACATTCTAGAAGGTGAAGGCTCTTTTCGGAGAAAACTGTGAGAAGAGCTGGGAACACATCCACCTTGGGCTTCACAAGCTCTTTAGCCTGTAGGAATTCCCCCCAGATCCCAGCCCCTCACCTGTCCAACTCTAGCCAAGCTCCTTCTAAACTCAAAGGCCAGCATTTCCTCTCATCCATCTTGCCGTCTGCCAGAAGAGTTTGTTTACATGGGTTCAACAACAAGAACCAATGCCTCAAGTGTTCAGGAAGGCTGAGTGCCAAGCTCTGACGCTTGAAGTCAAAGCTTCCATCATGGGATCCTCAATGTCGTGGGTCCCAGCCCAGGAAAGAAAGGCAGGGAGCTGGGGCTCTGGAGTCCATGTGCACCAAAGAGCTGGTTGACCTTGGGCTCATCACCTTATTTCTCTGAGCCTCAACATTTCCTCATCTGTAAAATGGGGATGATGGTGGTTCCTACTGTACAGCCTTATCATGAGTCTTAAATGAAATAATGCAGTAACGCTCTGGCACATACTAACACTCCATCCATGTCAGGGATTGTGTTATTTAGTTTAGCCCAATTCCTGAGGCCCCCTGACCAAGGCCATGACACATCCCAAATCTCTCTCCTGGGCAGTGGGTAGGTTCTAGAATTGCTTT